CTGACTGAAATCCGAGCTGTGGTTTCCCAATCTCACCTCTGCATGAAATTCCCAACTCCTACGGGAATAGCAACGCTGCGAGGCAACCAGGAGGTGGCCCGACATTACTATATCACCTCGGTCATGCAACCTTAGAAGGGCAAAGACCAGACACCCGAGGTCAATCCCAAACGGATTCCTGACAATCGGCAAGTTATGGGTGTTGAGATAGTAGATAACCGACCAGAAGATGAAACCAGAGCTGCTCCAATCGAAGATGTGGAGGAGGTACAGATTGATGACAGAGATCCGAGTCGGAAAACGCAAATTGTGACTAAATTGAACTCGGAGGAAAGAGCAGAGCTAATAGCTTTTCTTCGGGCCAATAAAGATGTTTTTGCATGGACTTCAGCAAATATGCCGGGAATTCCCACGTCAGTTTTTCAGCACAAACTCAGCACCAATCCCCTCAAGAAACCAGTAGCCCAGAAGCGACGCCTCTTTGAGGGGGAGAGGTTAAAGGTTATTAAAGAAGAAGTCGAGAAACTCCTACAAGCCGGCTTTATCAGAAGGGTAGATTACTGTGAGTGGGTCGCCAATCCGGTGTTGGTGAAAAAAGCAAATGGTAAATGGTGGATGTGCATTGATTACACTAACCTCAACGATGCATGTTGAGGCAGCTTCGGGAAATGAGAGATTAAGTCTCTTGGATGCATACTCAGGCTACCACCAGGTCCCAATGGCTCCTGAGGATGAAGAAAAAACCTCGTTCTATGCTGGCGATGAGATTTATTGCTATGTAATGATGCCCTTTGGCTTGAAGAACGCAGGTGCCACTTACCAAAAGATGGTTACCATCGTATTCCGAGCTTAGACAGGACGGAATCTGGAAGTTTATGTTGATGATATAGTGGTGAAGAGTTTGAAAGCTGACGATCACTTAACCGACCTTGAGGAGACATTCAACAATCTCAGACAGAATATAATGAGGTTAAACCCAGCCAAATGCATCTTTGGCATGGAATCTGGAAAATTCCTGGGCTTCATGGTTTCCCGGAGAGGGATTAAGGTCAATCCGGAGAAGATTATAGCAATCGCGGACATGGAACCGCCGAAGTCAGTGAAAGATATACAGAGGTTGACTGGAAAGGTAGCAGCTCTTCATCGGTTCATATCGAAGTCAGCAGATAAGTGCCTACCGTTTTTCAAAATTATGAGGTCAGCTTCCTAGAAGGATGAATCAGGTAAACAGAAGAAGTTTGAGTGGAC